ATTGAGGAATAATTATGGCATAGTATTGGTTATAATATGTGGTGTAGGAAATTGTTATTTGAGAAGAGTGGATACTACAATGATTAGATAATATCGGTTGGTTGTTTTTGTTAGTGTTGAGGTACTAAAAATTGTATGGAAAAACGTGGTTAGTCATTCACGTGAGTTCTTGGCATTATTGTACAACTTCTTAATGATCAATTAATGATTGACAATTGAGTTAGTTATTACCATCATATAGTAATAGATTGAAGTTGGCGACATACTCCAGTGAAGTGTAGTTTATACAATTGAATAGGTCAGGTTATTACTTATGGCATAGGTGTTAAGAGTTAGCATGGTTCTCACCACTGGTTCATCACCAGTAAGCTTCCATTTTTAATTAATATTATTTTATTATCATAATATAAGGTAAGTTGTAATACATTGATATATGTAATTAAATATTAGGTATATAATATTATTCGAATATCGTTAAAGTTATGCCAAATGGGAGGAATTAAGACTTACCCTTAGGTTGAACTTTACGAAATTGATTATAGAATTAGGTGAGTTTTTGGGTCTAGGCTTAGACATAAGATAATATAAGTGTTTATAAACTTGTTAACTTACAAATTATGCATATATACTTGATAGATTGGAAAGGTTCGGAGGCATTGAGGAAAGGAAAAGTATTGGAGAAGTAGCTTGCTTGACTTCGGTTCTTCGGTGGAGGTAGGTTATGGTTTATTCTATTTGATAGATAAACTCTTAATAGCGATTGATATGCATTGAATGATATTGTGAAGTTTTCTATGTACTTGACTGTGTGATTGTGTGGCTTGGTTGTGTGGTTTGAGATTGGTCTAAAATCCTGAGACCGTGAGATTTATAATCTGAAAACCTCTCTATCGAAGTGATGCCTTGAATAAAGAAGGCTTGATGTAATATTATTAATGAATTGAAAAGTGGTGATAATAAATGATAAATTAATAATATTATTGGATCGGAGTGTCACGTTTCGACACGATATTTTTGGATTGGAGTGTCACGTTCCGACACGGTATTTTTGGATCGGAGTGTCACGTTCCGACACGGTATTTTTGGATCGGAGTGTCACGTTCCGACACGGTATTTTTGGATCGGAGTGTCACGTTCCGACACGGTATAATTGGATCGGAGTGTCACGTTCCGACACGGTAACATTAAAGGAAAAAGATATTGAATTAACTTAATGTACTCAATCTCAATGAACGCATTTCCCAAACGAGTGTGAAGTGGAGGCATGAGTCCTCGTGTGTGTGCTTGATATTGTGATTGATTACGTACTTGCTTCAACTGTCACTTGTTCATGTTGTTGTTTCTTATCACCTGCTAAGTGCTATAGTTGACTTTATACTATTATTCATTGTATATTAGTTTCTATTTTGGGTTGACCGATGATACCTACTCAGTACATGTTGCCTCGTACTGAGCCCTACTTGTATTTTTCTTTGTTTTCTTTTTGTGGAGTGCAACGAGTGTATCAGTGACTTCAACTTGCCTTCAGCTCTAGCCAGTCTCCAGCACATCAGGTTCCAGGGTGAGCTATTCATTCCAGCTCGTGTTGGATTCTCTTGGTCATGGCATGATGTCCTTAGTTTTCGGACATAACCTATTTTATTCATTTATTTTGGTGTCTTTAATACTCTTAGACTTAGTATTTGAAGATTAGATGTCCTTGATGTGATGACTTTCAGATTTTGGGGATAATAAGTGTTAGACTTTAGAGGTTTATTTGATTGGTTACTTTAATAAGTTTTGAGCTTCCGCATTATTGTTGTTGTTCATAGTTAAATTATTGATATGTGTTGGGGTTGGATTCCTTGGTTCTCCCACTTAGGAGGTTAAGTGTGGGTGCCACTCACGACTCATTTTGGGTCGTGACAATATCATTCTTGGTAGATTTTTGTTAGCGTGAAATTACATTTTTATCCTTGATCATAATTCACTTAATATAAAAAGATGTTTCTAGAATTATTTACTATCTTTCTTAGTAGGCGTTTGGCCATGTGATATCATATCACGATATGATATCGTGAGATGAAATCAGCGTTTGGACATGCGATTTTACGCTGATTCCATCTCATGATTTCATATCATGAGAGGTGATACCATATTCTCCAAAAACCATGATATGGAATTATATGGTGATTCCATATCATGATTTGAGATATTTTAATACAATAATTGATCCATGAGTTTATATTTTGTTAAAACAACCCCACATTTATATCTACTAACTATTTGTTTCATATGTAAATAAAATTTATAATCATCATTACTTTTTAAAATTTATTATTCTCACCGACATTAAATTTATTATTCTCACCAACATATAGTCACTTTAACTCACACCTCACGATTGTGAAACTTTTCAACATTCACTTGAAACAATTAACCAGCATGTTAAAATAGTTGTTGAGGCAATTAGCAAGATGGCACCAACATTTATACAACCAAAAAATATGATTGGTGTACATTCCAAAATTCGACATAATACTCGATTTGGCCTTGGTTTAGGGTAAAATTTCAATCACATTAATAAATTTATTTTATGGCCTTAATAAGTGCACATTTATATTTTATGTGTAAGTTATTAGTATTTAGTTACATATTTCCTATCAACTTTGTTTAAAGAGATAATATTTATTTTATGACTTTGCATGATCTTGGAAGCACTATTTTTATTACTCTTACAAAATTATTTTATGAAGTGCATTCTATAATGCTTCCAATTTATTTTATGTTCACTAAACTAATATTGATGTATTTTTTATTTGGTAGGATTGTGTTGGTGCGATTGATGGAACATATATAGAAGGGGAGGTTCCTAAAGCGGTGCAACAAGCATATCGTAATCGCAAAGGAAGAACATCACAAAATGTCTTATGTGCTTGTGATTTTGATATGCGATTTACCTTTGTTGTTGCTAGTTGGGAAGGTACTGCATATGATAGTAAAGTACTTGAGAATGCACTTGTTGAACCAACGACACAATTTCCATTTCCGCCACATGGTAACTTTAAATTACATCCTTAGAATAAATATTCTTTATTTACACAAAGCTGTCTCATTTACGTCACATATGCTTTTAGTAATTCTTTATAAAATGTTTTTTGGTAGATAAACATTATGTTGGTCAAGCTGATTACCGAAACACAAAAGGATTTTTAGCTCCATACAAAGGATTACACTATCATTTGCAAGATTACCGAGGAAGTGAAAGAGAGCCTCAAAATGCCAAAGAACTATTTAATTATAGGCATTCATCTCTGCGTAATGTGATTGAACAAACTTTTGGAGCTTGGAAAAATAGATTTAGAATACTGAAACAAGGCATGAACCATTATGATTTGATACACAAGTGAAAATTGTCATAGCTTGTGCAGTGTTACATAATTATTTGCGAGAATACCAAAGTAGTGATGAAATATTTATGGTCTATGAACATGAAGATATAGTTGCGGAGGATATTTACCAACAAATGGCTCAAAGTAACAATGTTGGTTCGTCTTCTTGGTCACATGATCGAGAAATGCAAGTTCAACGTGAAGAATTCGTCTGTACTATGTGGGAGGATTATATTAAAGACTAGTACACTACAATTTATGTTCAATTTTTTTTTATTAAATTAAAGTTAGATGAAACAATTACTTAAGTGGAGAACAAATAACTTTGTAATAATTTATTATGCGATTTTATAATTTTTTGTTTATTTAATAAGATTGAATACACAATTGGGACTATTTTAATAGTTTTACAACTTATGAGATTTTTATATTTATGAGAAAATATACAACACAAAAATTTCATATCGCATGTCCAAACAAACCTTCAATTTCATCTCATGATTCCATATTATGATACCATATCATGATTCCATATCATAATATCATATCGCATGACTAAACGGGCCCTTAATAGATTTTTGTTAGAATGAAATTACATTTTTACCCTTGGTCGTCCTATCACTTCACTCTTCTATATAATAGAAATATAAGACGCACATTTTTTCTTCCTTTTTTTTTTTCGCATTTGGGCCAAACTTGTTTATTTGTTTTGGATTTTGTTTTTTTTTTCCCAACAAAACGGGCAAAGTCCAATCTTTTAATTATTATTTTTAAAAAGAGTAGTTTGGATTGATAAATGTTCAAACTTCGATAATTCTTTTTGGGAATTTCTCCATATTTAGTACTCTCTTTGTCCTTAATTACTTCTCCACTTTTCCTTTTTTAGTTGTCCCTAATTACTTGTCCATTTTGACAAATCAAGAAAGGACAAAAAAAAATTCTCTATTATACCCTCAATTTATTACTTTGAAAAATGTAGAACTTCTTGAAAATCTTAAGTTTTTAATTCACCTACTTCATAATTAATAGGGGCAAAATGGTAAACTACTATATCACTTATTATTTTTTTAATAGGTGTGTTAATTCAAAAGTGGACAAGTAATTAGGGACAATGGGAGTATGTAATTGACAATTAACCACTTTTAATGCAAAAATAAATCTTCTATAAGAGAGAGTGCTATTTATATGTCAAAACGTTATAAAGATGGGTAGAGATGAAGAGTGGGGTTCGGTGGTAGCGAGGGGATGGGATGATAAGGGCTAAGGGTTGGGAAAAGACAATAAACTTGAAACGTCACTTGTGCAATTTATTTTCTATTTCTATTAGAGAAGTCATTTTCCTAGAAAAATTGGAAAATATTTCTTGAAAATGTCCCTACCAAACAGACTCTAATCTGCACCAATAATGCTGGAAATATAATTAATAATCTCCAAAAACATAGTCTGTCATAGAGATTACACAATCAGAATATCTTTTGTTTATTAGTTCACACAACAAATGTATTTTATTTACTTTGGAGTTTGGATCAATCATTTGATTAGGTACAAGGACAATTGTTGAATAATCAACACACATGGGTGTGGACCATATTTGATGCTGATCTCTAGCAGTCAACTTGGACTGTTAAAAACTCTTCAACCTTTTCCCTCTTTTGTCCTAGGTTTACATTGTTATGGATATTTCATAAATATTTTTACTACATTATTGTAAATCATAAGTAAAATAAATTCTACATGAGTGTCCCCTTAACTCCCTTTAGTTCTTATAAGTTTTCATGTTCAACTGATAAAGTAAAAGAAAAAGTATGGCAGAGGGATTAGTGGTAGCAAATGATGGAGAAGAGTACCATGGAAAGCTGACATGTTTTGTAATATTGGCTTGTATGATGGCTGCTATGGGTGGTGTAATCTTTGGATATGATATTGGAATTTCAGGTTTGATTTTTCTGCATTTATATACAATCTATGACACACCCAGTGGCTAGTAAAGGTTTCAATTGTCCAAAGGGAAAACAAAGGAACACAAAAGAACAAGAAATTATGTTTCCTTTGCGTGAATTATTATTACTGGGAGACTAAAGTAATAATTCATGCCAAGTTTAGAGGTGTTTTCAATATTTATATCTCTATTGTGAATCAATTGATCTATTCTATTTCACTAACACAAGTTTTAAATAATGTGAAGGTGGAGTAACATCTATGGAGCCTTTTCTGAAAAAGTTCTTTCATGATGTGTATATTAAGATGAAAGAAGACAAAGAACTTAGTAATTACTGCAAATTTGATAGTGAATTGTTGACATCATTCACATCATCTCTTTATGTGGCTGGTCTTTTTGCTACTTTTGTTGCCTCATCAGTCACCAGAGTGTATGGTCGCAAGGCGTCAATCCTTCTTGGAGGAGCTAACTTCCTTGCTGGTGCAGCCCTTGGTGGAGCTGCTTCTAATATCTATATGCTTATAATTGGCAGAGTTTTATTAGGTGTTGGTGTTGGTTTTGCAAATCAGGTAAAAAAATACACATTTCCTTGTTTGGAAATATTTTAAACTTCGAGTTTTTACTCTTAATGAGATGCTCTCATAATCATAGAAATGTCAAGACATGTTTTAGAACTATAAGTTCTAACGGTACGTTTGATATGTGCCTAAAGTCTTTCATTTTTAAACTCCGTATCTAGTCTAACACTATCACTTAAAGTGAAATGAAAGCAGTACTTCTCAACTAGTAGACGCACGTCCTATATTTTCACTCTTGTAAAGAAAAAGAGTTGTTCTCAAAATGCAAATCAGGTAAAATACTACTCGAATTATACTTTTCCATAACTAGAAATACTTCCACTTTACTCTCAATGAGATGCTCTAATAGTCATAATCCCATAGAAATGCCACGACATGTTGAAGACGACAAGTTCTGAAGGTACTTTTGATATGTGCCAAAGTCTTTCATTTTAAACTCTGTATCTAATCAAACACGAACATTTAAAATGAAGTGGAAGCAATACTTCTCAACTAGTAGACCTATATCTTCACTTTAGTAAATAAAACTAGAAGTTCTCTACATGAAAACTCAAATACTTACCCTTTGACAAATTTACCATTCTTGTTCCTTTTTGAAAGTAAACCAGCTCAATCAACTATCTGTTCTAGCTAAAACCTAAGTTTGTTTTCACAACTTTGCAGGCTGTACCGTTGTATTTGTCAGAAATGGCACCATCCAAGTACAGAGGAGGATTCAATAATAGCTTTCAACTAAGTGTAGGCATTGGAGTTTTAATAGCGAACCTTATAAATTATGGCACTGAAAAGGTCAAAGGTGGTTGGGGATGGAGAGTGTCTCTTGCTATGGCTGCAGTCCCAGCATCCATTTTAACATTAGGCGCGTTGTTCCTCCCAGATACCCCCAACAGCTTGATTCAACGAACAGATGATCATGAAAAGGTTAAAAGATTGCTGCAAAGAGTCAGAGGCACTGATGATGTACAAGCAGAACTTGATGATATTATCTTAGCCAGTGAAATTTCAAAAACTATCAAACACCCTTTCAAGAACATTTTACAAAGAAAATACAGGCCTCAACTTGTCATGTCCGTGGCGATACCATTCTTCCAACAAGTCACAGGAATTAATGTCATTGCATTCTATGCTCCTATCCTGTTCCAAACGATTGGACTAGGTGTAAGTGCATCTCTTTTATCTTCAGTTGTAACAGGAGCAGTAGGAATTGTCACAACAGGTTTGTCAATGTTGATTGTTGATAAAGTTGGCCGAAGAGGGCTGCTGATATTCGGAGGCATACAAATGTTTGTTACACAAATGATAGTAGGAGGATTAATGGGGGCTAAGTTAGGGGATCATAGTGGATTGAGTAAAGGTTGGGCCTTTGTGATTTTGGTGTTGATATGCACCTATGTAGCTGGTTTTGGTTTGTCATGGGGGCCATTAGGATGGTTAATTCCAAGTGAAATATTCCCATTAGAGATAAGATCAGCTGGACAAAGTATTTCAGTATCAGTGAACTTTCTCTTCACTTTCTTGGTTGGTCAAACATTTTTAGCCATGTTGTGCCATTTCAAATTTGGGATTTTCTTCTTTTTTGGAGTTTGGGTGGCAATAATGACTGCATTTGTCTACTTCTTTTTGCCAGAGACCAAGAATTTGCCTATTGAAAAAATGGACAGGGTGTGGAGAGAACACTGGTTTTGGAAGAGAATTGTAGGAGAAAATAATGAAGTTATCATCAAAGAAGAGGAAGGTTAAAGATAGTTATCATGAGCTCATCCTTGGTATCAATTAAAGAGAAGTGTACTTTCTCTATTTGTAAATTTATGGTTAGGCTTATTGGAAATTGTGTTTTGGATTTCTAAAAGTTTGTAAATTTATGGTTATGGTTACTTAGAAATGAGGTGTTTAGTAACCAATTCCCATTAAGGACTATACAATATTGATCTGTCATTCTAGAAAAAAATCTAATGACAGTATGTCTCATTGACATAATTGGACAAACTAGTACATAGTATGTTCAAAGTGTTTACTACTCAATTTAACTTTCCCATTTTCTTTCTTATTTCTGATCTTACATCTACTCCCTCAAAGTCTCAAACAAATGAAAGAACAAAGGTAACTAAATAAAGGCATAATAGATAAACACGCTCATTAACTTGACTCAACTGACATTTATGTCCTCTAACTTTGGATATGTACATGTACTCACTTAAACTTGTATAAAATTAGACAACTAAACACACGTGTCCTACGTGACATAATACACATAGGACATCACATAGAACGTCGCATAGGACACATTTGTCTACTTGTTCAACTTTATGCAAGTTTAAGTTCCGATGTGTACACCCAAAGTTGGAGGGCATTAATGCAAGTTGAAACCAAGTTAAATGACACATTTATCTATTATGCCTTAACTCATATATATATAAAATAATAATAATAATAATAATAAACCACAATGCAACTATCATTGTAACTATCTTGTTATCTTTCAACCAAAAACTAACAAGATTTTTAGTTAATTGTAACTATCTTGTTAGCTTTCAACCAAAAGCTAACAAGATTTTTAGTTACATATTTATTATTTAGTTAAATAATAAATATGTCATTGTATGATTTATTATTCATTCCTTTTGAATTTGTTAATCTGATTTTGATCTGACACATAGTTTACGAAAGTATATTAGATTTTGAGAAAAAACATTAAGTGATACTTGAAGTTGTCCCGAATTTTCAAAAAGACACCTTAACTTTGCGTGCGTCCTATTACCCCACAAAACATTCAAAATCACAATAAATACACATTTTTTACACAATATTTCCACTTTGGACAAAAATATCTTTCGAATGTGCAATTTCTTAAAAACAAAAAGTCTAACCCATTATTGATGTATTGAAGGATGCTTTGGTAATTTCCTATGATGAATTCGTTTTGTTTGTTTCTTTTAAATTTATTTTACTATACTAAATAATTGTATAAAATATTATGAATCACGATAATTAATTACTTAAATATTTAAAAGATATAAAAATATATAAAATATCTGATTGACTCTTCAAATTTTACCGGTGACACATACATTGGGACAAATGAAATAATATATATTATTTGAAAATTTCTTAGAAAATATTATAAATTACAGTAATTAACAACTAGAAATATTTCAAAGACAAAAAAAATTGATTGAATCTCAAAATTTTTTTAGTACTACATAAATTGAGAAAGAAGAAATGACCTCTATTATTTGAAAATGGCGTAAAAGTATTACAAATCATACAATAAGAATTAACAATTTAAAATTTTAAAAGACTTTAATGTTTTATACTTATTCTATTTTCACTTTGGACAAAAATATCCTCCCAATATGCATATTTTTTTAAACAAAAAGTGGGACCCATTATTGATGTATTCAAGGTTGCTTTGGTAATTTTTCTATGATGAATTTGTTTTGTTTGTTGTTTATTTTTTTTATAAATAATTGTATAAAATATTATAAATCACAATAATTATTTACTTAAATATTCAAAAGATATAAAAATATGTAAAAGATCTGATTAACTCTTCAAATTTTATCGGTGACACATAAATTGGACAAATGAAATAATATATATTATTTGAAAATTACTTAGAAAGTACAATAATTTACAGTAATTAACAATATAATATTTTAAAGACAAAAAAATTTGATTGAATCTCGAAATTTTATTAGTACCACATAAATTGAGAAAGAAGAAATAACCTTTATTATTTCAAAATTGCGTAAAAGATATTACAAATCATACAACAATAATTAGCAATTTAGAATGTTAAAAGACATAAAAAAAAATTACCATAGTTAACAATAATTAAAAAATAAACTATTTTAAATTAATATTAAAGTTTGATTAACTCTTTAATTTTGTCTTTGTCACATAAATTGAAACAAAAAATAATACATATTGGGCCCGTGATAGCACGAGCTGCGATGTCTAGTATTACTATAAGTGGGAACAAATAAAGTTGAAAGTTAAAAATACCAAAATATCCCTATAAAATTGAGTTACTACAATAATGCCATTAAAAAAAAAGTTACTCTACATTAAAATGTTATAAAATATTTATTTAATTATATTTAGAAAGTAATTATATAATATTATAGTATATAACACTAGAAAATCCAAAAATTGTAGTAAATACTATTCATACAATTAATAAATTAGTAAGAGGCTATATACATTTAACCGTATGTCATTAGTATATGAATAACTTGAATGTTTAGACTTCTCCTTATAGTTCGTGAAACGTGTATTTTGAATTCCCATGGACTTAATAATTTATATTTACTATTTCTTGAACTTTGTATCACTTCTTTAGTACTTAATTATGTTTATTTAATGTCAATCTTGAATTGCTTCATCTTCCGATCTTTATTGCAATATTAACTTTTGAAATGTCAATGTACATGTAGTCAATCATGATTTAGCAGAATTGAGCTTTAGATGATTTAGTAGTGAACCAACATGGGGACGTAATCATGGTTGTCTAATATATGTTGCTTCTTGAAAAGGTATTTGGTGTATGAAATGAAGTTTTTTGTTATTTTCTTGTTGCATCTTTTAACCAGATTAAAATTACATACTTTTGAATAAACCTAAAGATTATGTATCACATTATAAAAATAAGAGAAAAGACATAAAGTCACCATTAAAGTTGTCCCGTATTTGCATAAAGACAACTTAACTTTGGAAGTATCCTATCACCCCACAATACTTTTTAATATCTTTGTAAATTGGCCATTTTGACCCATTCCCTCGTCTGTGTTGCCACGCGTGATGCTCACTCCTGTAATATTCAGTCAACCCGACCCGACCCTATTCTTTTAAAAAAAAAGCCTTCTCTTTCCTTTTGTTATTTCTCAACTTTTCCTAAAATCACAAAATATAGAAAGGTCTTCTCATTTTCTCTTGGTGTTGATAACCTCGTTGTTGAAGGTCTAACATGTTAGGGCTCTACATTATATGATAAAGATTTTTTTTTCCAATTATTATGATTTTAGGTATTATTATAGTGTAAAGAGTGTTGGAATCGACGGAAATTAAAAGATAAAACAAATTCCTACTTTATTGCGCTTTGGGAAGATGATGAAATCGTCAAAGAGAGAGTACCAACGTTGATCTTGCTTTGGAAAAAGATGAAATTGTGAATTTAGGGCTACCAATGACTCTTTTGAGTTTAAATTTGGGGAAGATGATGTAAATTAATTAAATAATTAATAATAAAGAAATAAAGTGACACGTGGCACTTTTAAACTGGTTAATAATAGTAAAAACACGGCATCACGCGCCTCATGTGCGTGGTAACAACCCAGACAAGGAAATGGGTCAAAAAGACCCATTTACAAAGATATTAAAAAGTTTTGTGGGGTGATAAGACACTTCCAAAGTTAAGGTGTCTTTATGCAAATACGGGTCAACTTCAGTGGTGACTTTATGTCTTTTCTCTAAAAATAATGGAGTTACTGGACATGTATACATGAGAATAGTATGGTTGCCCCTAATGCGGTACATCATTTTCTATGTACTTGTGCCTTTTTTGGTTGGTAAAAAGCAAGTTAGTCCTATTTAGGTGTTTTAATCATTTTTTAAAAATATTATAAGTATCAATGCTAATTCTATGTCAGCAACTCCGATAATGTTAGATGGCATATTATCTTAATTAGTTTTACATAGTTCAACATTTCCTATTTCGTGAACTACTCCCTCCATTCTTTTGTAACTGTTACTATTTTATTTTTAATAGTCAAACTATATCAACTTTAACTAACATTTTCAGATGTATTTTTCCATCATATTGATATGGAAAAAAAAATGCAATTTATAGTAGTACTTTTCATATAGTTTTTGAATATCTAAATTAGATGATATTGTTGTGTTTGACTAAACACATATTTAGTAGAATGATATATAAGATTAGGCATGTACAAATTTTATAAAAATAACAGTAAGGCGTCCTCGGGTTGGGCATTCTCGGGGAGTAGGTCTCCTCGGGCCAGGAGTTCTGGAGGAGTAGGGCTCTCATCGGGTCAAGCGTTCTCAGGGAGTAGGTCTCCTCAGGTTAGGCTTTCTCGGGGAGTCGGACTCTCCTCGGGTCAGGCGTCCTCATGGAGTAGGCCTCCTCAAGTCAGGCGTCCTCAGGTCAAGCATCATCGGGTCAGGCATCTTCGGGTCAGACATTCTCGAAAGTAGGTCTCCTTGGGTCAGGCGTCCTCGGGGAGTAGGTCTCCTCGGGTCAGGTGTCCTCTGGGAATAGGTCTTCTCGGGTCAGGCGTCCTTCGGGAATAGGTCTCCTCGGGTCAGGCGTCCTTGAATCAGGCGGCCTCAGGTCAGGCATCCTCGGGTTAGGCATCCATAGGGAGTAGGTCTCCTCGGGTCAGGTGTTCTCGGGGAGTAGGTCTCCTCCGATCAGGCATCCTCGGGGAGTAGGTCTCCTCGGGTCAGGCGTTCTCCGGGAGTAGGTCTCTTCAGGTCATGTGTCCTTGGGTTAGGCGTTCTCAGGGAGTAGGTTTCCTCAGGTCAAGTGTTCTCGCGGATTAGGTCTCCTTGGGTAAGACATCCTCGGTCAGGTGTCCTTGGTCAGGCATTCTCAGGTCAGGCGTTCTTGGGGAGTGTCTCTTTGGGTCAGGCGTTCTCGGGGAGTAGGTCTCTTTCGGTCAGGCATTCTCGGGTCATGTGTTCTCAGGTCAGGCGTTCTCGGGTCAGACATCATTGGGTTAGGTTGTTCTCGAGTC